TTAAAAAGGGTGCAATTTGAAAAGGATGAAATAAGACAAAGGTGGAAAGAGATGCATAATAAAAAGATGAAAGTGAAAGAAACTTATGATGTAGGTGATCTGGTTTTAATTTACAACACCACATTAGAGACTACTTCTCGGTAGTTGAATTATCAGAAGATGGGGCCATATAGGGTTTGTGAAATTGGAAAGTATTGACAAGTATATATTGATGAGCTTGATGGAAGCGAATTAAAAGATCCAGTAACACGAAACAGAGTAAAGAAATTATTTACCTGGGGTGATGAGACGTCGATTCAAAATGGCAAAGTTCTGAATAGAGAAGACATGGCCTCAAGGATGAGGACCAATGGGGGTCCAGCTCATGTTGTGTAGTTCTTGAAGACCCCGTATACCTTGTAAAAGGTATACAAATAGATAATGAATTAATTAGTAAGATAAAGGGTGTGAAAGCAGAAGAAGAATATGGAACAATTGATCCACGTGATTGTGTAATCAATCAGGAATGTGATGGAAATTGAGAGATTGGAGGTTAATTGAGATATAGGGCAGCACATGCAAGATCGGGTATGATAAATACCCTGATTGACTAATGCATGAATATGATGGATTAGTTAGAGAACAATGAAAAGTCTAATTATTTAATAACAAAGAGATAGTTAAAATGTATTACAAGATATGTAATTGTTGAATCACATAAATAGAAAAAATGTAAATAAAGAATTTAACAGTCCTTTGACTGGAAAATTGAGTAGTATATGAATAAATAAAGTAGTTTATATGTGTTAATAGTACAAAGTGCATCATTTAAGAAGGTGTCTGTGTGTCTCTCAAGCCAAGCAAGACTATAATATTAAATTAACCAACTGGGTTGAATAGCAGTCACTATGGTAATTGCCTAGCTCTTTGACATTAATGTTACTTGATTATGTTCTATTGTAAGATATGTCAATACATCTTTACAACAGAATGTAACAATTATATAAATCTTTTACCAATCATTATAGTTTAATTTAAAGCTTTATTTAAATATTATCTAAAAGAATCAACTTAATTAAATTAAAAAACAAATTGCACAAATGTTTTTACACAAAGCAATTATTTTACAAGATGAAACTTCTGAATCTAATTTAATCATTAATGAGGACAATAATTTTGAGCTATCTAAATCTGTTAAATGACCACAAAAAAAAGGCCAAAAAGAGCAAAGCTGTAATTGATGAAACTTCAGAATCTTATTCATGTCTTCTTGAAAGTGATTGTTTTGAGACATTTGACTTGGTTAAATGGCCACAAAAAAAAAGCTAAAAAAGGTGGATCAGCATTTTATGAAGTATGGAGTTATTTCATAAAAAGGTAAACAAGTAAACTCTGGTCATTATAAAGCTATGTGCTATTACTGCAAAGCATTTCGGCTAAGAGGTAAACCAAATGATATGAAGTCACATCTTGCAAATGAATGTTTAAATATATCTATGGATATTTAGAAGTATTGGTGCAATAAGCTTGTAGAAGACAATAATGCATATTTAAAAAATTCACATTTAAAATCAATTTTATCTGTTCAAGTTAGTAATTATTATGATAAAATTCTTCTAAAGATTTGAACTGCTGCTAATATCCTATTTGAGGTGGTGAAAAATCTATTTCTTATAGAGTTATTTAAAGCTCATAATCCTGCCTATGTATTACTATCACATACAATATTATCTGAACAAATACTAAATAAAGAATTTGCATATAGATAATAAATTAGAGAATGCTAAGCATCTAATATTAAGTATTTATATAATGATAATAAAATTTTGCAAATATTAAGCATATAAAGTTTTATTTATTAATATATATTTATATATAAATAAATATTTAATTTTTTTAAGCTCTTGATGGGTGAACTTCTAAATGTGATAAATCTATATATAACTATTTTGTAACAACCAAGAAGGAAAAGAATATCTAATTTCAATAAAAAATTATTCCTTACAATTACATACTGGTAATTTTTTAGCTTCCAAAATTTTTGAATATTAGTGAACCAATTGGTTCTAAAAAATTTGTAGTAGTTGTCACTGATGCAGCTTCAAACTGTTGAGTTGCAAAAGAAAAAATACAAAAAAAATATAACAATATTTTAAATATTCATTGCATTGCTCATGCAATTAATTTAATCACTGTAGATTTAACAAAACTTACTAAAATAAAGACATTTATTAGTCGATGTGGAAAGCTGATAAAATTTTTTAATAAATCACCTCAGAAGTTAGCATTATTATGACAAGGATTATACAATATGAAGATTAAGTTTGAGGGTTTGAAATCATAATGCCAAACTCATTGGTGATTACTCTATAATACAACTAATTCAATATTAGTTGCAGGTTCTATATTTGATTGGGTATATTATATTTTTATATAAAATTTATATATATTATATATATTAATACAGTACACCCTCTCAAATCTGATACGTATAGTGGACAGCTTTTGTATCGGTTTTGAGAGGTTATTGAATTTGAAAATTGATTATAGCTTTACATGATTACAAATAAATTTAATTAGCTGGATTATATTTCTTATATATATAATATGTTGCACAATACCTAATCTTAGCTGATCAAATTGATTTATATTACCTGTCAAAACCAATATCTTATAGATATCTGGTCTTTTGAGTATCAGTTATTAGAAATAGAAGATTATTAGGTTTTAATTATGAAACAGACATGGTGAATCAATTTTTTATCAGTTATCACAGATTATCAGTTTTGACAAAATTGCTTTTGAGAGAGTGTACTATATATATAATAATAATATATATTAATATATATAGATTTTAGTTAAGTATTTAAATATAGTTACAGACAATAAAGTTTTTGATTTACTATATAATGAAGAATTTTTGCTATGTATTGACAAATTGAATCTATTTAGAAACTAATAAAAACTTATATTAACATGTTAGAAAGTAGTACTACATCTCTGTCTGACTGCTATATTTGTATGATTAAGTTGGCTATTACAATATATCAATTTCCAAAATCTAACTTGTTTAAACCTGCTATAATTAAAATATTTAATCAATGCTATATAGAGTTTTAGCATCCATTTTATTTTTTTATACTACTATTTACATCTATTTTATTATAGTATAATTATTTTATATATAATTTTTTTTTATAATAATATTAAATATCAACATTACTAAAATGCACCATTGGTGTTCAACATCATAATAATCTTCACCAATCAAATTTTTTAAATACTGTGTAATATAAAGATCAGTTGTAACATAAATTTTTTGTTGTTTTGATATTTTTTAAAAAAATATCTTCTAACTCAAAATTTTATCTATAAAACCATCTTTTTTTTAAAAAAATAAAATTTCTTGCAAAATTTTAATATATACTATATCTCACCCTAACCCTAACTATTAACTCTAACTTAATATTTATTAAATTTAATTTTGTTTATTTTTTTTTGTTTATTTCTTTAAATTGATCTTCATGTTACACCACATATTAGTGTTAAAAAACACTATAGGTGCATTTTATATTATTTCTTAAATATTTTTAATTATTACTTATATTTTTTTATTAAGAATTGGTCTTAAAGGTAAAGCATTTTGTGATGCTGCAATTACTGCTTCAACTTTATAGAAAAATTTAAGGCATTCAAAGCAAGAATATAATGAGTTAATTTTATTATTTCGCAATTATAATGCCAAAAAGAAGCTATTTAATCTATTCTATAGTCAAGGTCTTAATACTTCAATACTCTGGTGGGATTATTAAAAGGCAAACCACATCATCTTTCAAAGTTTGTACAAAGACTTTTTAGTATTTTGCCTTCTCAGGCTAATTGTAAGAGAAATTTTTCTAGATTAAAATAGTCTATTAGAGATAAATGTACTTATCTTGATATTAAAAAGCTTGAAAAATGGCAGATAAATGTTTGAAATGATCTTACTTATACTAAAGCTGAATTAAGTAATATAGTTAATCTTGCTTTAATTAATAATTATATTACAGATAAAAAAGAAAGAAAATATAAAATATGAAAATAATGACAATCAAAATCTGTTGACTCAAACTAATCTAGTTTTAGAAGATACTGTAAATTTAAAAGATCTGATTTTCCAAAAGAGAGATATTGAATCATGTAAAATTTTAATTAATAATTATAATGCTAAAAACAGCAGTAGCATTAATATCGATTTTAATCTGGAGAATCTTATTGACTCAATTTTAAAAACTGAATTAGATGATTAGGTAATTTATTAATTTCTTTTATAGTATTTGAATTTAATTGCTTCTAATATTTTTATTATTGTAAAAATCAATCTAGTCTACTTATTAGTAAAGCAATAATGATATTTTGATTCTTTTAGAAATACAAATTATGTATATATATATAGGGTGCTGGTATTCGTACCCCCCATCGCGAAAATTTCCGACGATCACATAATCACGTGATATATCTTGTACGTGGTTCTTACATAACGCACTATATATATCAGTATATGCTATTTCGCAGATAACATCAATCTGTATAACTTAAATGTGTATTTTTAATAGTTAACTACGTATTAGTATAGTTACAGTTATCTATAGTTCGAGTATTTAATTGTAGTCACACCATTAATGTTCGCGAAAAGAGTCTTACTTGCCAATATCATTCGCTTTATTATTTATTACTTCATATCATCACTACATGCCATGTAACTATTTACTTAGTTTCATCGTTACGCATAAAATCGTTATGCATACGATTATTATGCATAGTTTGTTATGCATAAAATCGTTATGTAAATTGATACATAGTTTCGTGATTGCATAAAAGTAAAAATCTAGAAAAGAAAAAGTTCAAGTATTATTAAATGTATAAAAAGACATGTAAAAAGCTCTTGGTAAAGGCAGAATTCGGATGCCTAAAATACTTATCTTTAATAAAGTACAAATTTTTTAAAACCAAAATTTCTTAACCTATTGATTGATTACATTATGCTTCCACCACCTTTAGTACCATACAATACTGCAGATGAGCTTTTCCAAAGTGTTCAACAATTCGCAAACTCACAAGGTTATGCATTAGTAAAAAAAAGAACTCGTAAAGATAGACATGGTGAATTAAAAAACATGGAATTACGTTGTGATCGGGGTGGTATATATAATAACACAAACCTGACTGAATCTACACGCCATAGACAAAGTAGTACTAGATTAAATGACTGTCCCTTCGAATTATATGCAGCTCGACGTAATGGTTTATGGCATCTTGAAGTTCGTGATTCAGAACATAATCATGAACCTTCAAGTGATATATCAGGACATCCAATTGCCCGAAGACTTACTAACCAGCAGTTAGAAAGTGTTGCAATGATGACTATCGCTGGCTCACGTCCCCGAGAAATTATTTCAACCCTTCGGCAAAATGATGAATCAACGTTAGTTACTAATAGTGATATTTACAATGCACGTAAAAAACTTCGGCAACAGAATTTAGCAGGATGTACTCCAATTCAGGCTCTTATAAATAAACTTCAGGAAGATGACTTTTCATTTGATTATAAATGTAATGATATTGGAGCTGTTACTCATTTGTTTTTTGCACATAAAGAATCTATTACTCTTACCCGACAATATCCATTCGTGCTTCTTATGGATTGTACCTACAAAACCAATAAATTCAAAATGCCCTTATTGAATGTTGTTGGTATAACCAGTCACAACACTACCTTTTTCTCTTGCTTTACCTTTATGAAAGGTGAAGATAAAGATGATTATAAGTGGGCGTTAACACGGGTTGCTCAATTATTTAATGAAGGATCAAGGCCTGGAGTTATTTTAACAGACAGGGAATTAGCTCTTATGAATGCTCTTGAGACAATTTTCCCCGATTCGATTCATTTGCTCTGCGTATGGCATATAAGTAAAAATATCTTAAAAAATTGCAGATCGCAATTCCCAAAAGGTACAAAAGACAATGATGACAATGAGTGGAAAGACTTTCTTGGAAGATGGAATGATATTGTTAGTTCAGAATCTGAAGATGAATTCGATACAAAATGGAAAAATTTTTGTTTTACTTATAATAATAAAGCCAGTGTTATATCCTATCTTGAAGAAACATGGATGCCATGGAAAAAACGATTTGTAAAAGCTTGGACTAATGAAATTCTTCATCTAGGAACAACAGTGACTTCTCGTATTGAAGGCTCACATGCAGTTCTTAAATCATACTTACAAACATCGACAGGAGACCTTCACCGAGTTTGCACAACAATTACTCTAGCTATTACCAACCAAAAAAAAGAAATTGATTCAATGATTGAGTCAGAACGCATTCATATTCCAATTTTTGCATGCAATAATTTTCTATATGCGAATCTTAGAGGCAAAGTCTCAGTCTTCGCTCTCAAAAAAATAAATGAGCAGCATAAGCGAATTACTTCACAAGAACAACTGCCACCATGTACCGGGTCTTTCTCAAGAACAATGGGCTTGCCTTGTGCTCATTATATTCAAAATTTAGATGTTAATCAGAGCATACCACTTGAAAATATCCATAAGCACTGGTGGATTCAAGAGCGCCCACCAGTACCACAAATTGAAGAAAACATTTTCCATCACGAAGACCTATTGCAGCCTCTTTTGCAGAACATAAAGGAAAGATATCAAGAATGGCCTGAACATCAACAAACAGCTGCCAGAGAAACATTAAATAATATGATTGATTCTCCAATAATGACTCTGCAAAATCCTCAAGTAGTTCGTACTAAAGGACGTCCTCCTGGTGCTCCAAATAATCAACAAACCAATACTACAAGAAGAGAACCTTCTGGATTTGAATTTGTTGAACCCAGAACAAAGCAGTGTTCTATTTGTAAACAGTCTGGGCACAATGCACGTACTTGTCTAAATAGAAGTAGTACAGAATAAAATATTTAGTTATAGATCATTTTACTTGAACAATTAGGTTATACATAGCTTTTCAAGTTTCTTCATAAATAGAGTAGTAAGATAATCATCTATTTCATATTTGAGTAACGAATGGTCAATCAAATATAGCATTCAAAAATAAATTCAATTTTGAATCTTTTAACTGTATTAGAAGTAAATTCAAATACTTTCTCTTTTAACCAGTCATTAAATCTTATAAGTTTCTATAAAAATAGATTAGCAAAGAATAAAGTGTTAGTCATTCATTTATATTTGAGTAACAAACTTGCTAATTAGTCGTTGCATCAAAAATAAATTCAAGCTCAACTTATACCTACATTAAAAGTAAATCTAATCGTTTTCGCCCCTAATAAGTCGTTAAATAAATGTATATTCAAATTCTTACACAAACAGAGCGGTAAAAATAAAATGTTTTATGTTTAAGTAATCAGTCATGGCATTCAACTTTTACTATATTATAAGTAAATCCGGTCGAATTAGTTCTTTAGTTTTCAATCGAAAGCATTATTTTAATGATCTATCATGTTATCATGTGATCATCGGAGATTTTCGCAATGGGGGTACGAATACCAAAAGTGGGGGGTACGAATACCAGCACCCTATATTTTTTATATATAACTTTTTTTTACTTAAATAACCTATTTTTTGTGTCTAAATAAAGTTGTTCAGAATAAAATTTTGCATTTATAAAGTTCGGCACTTTTTCATTTTGTTAACATTTTACTAAGTGAAAAATTGGATCAAAGTTTTTGGCAAAAAAAAATTTTTTTTTTACCA